GATGGCCTCCACCCTAGTAGCGATGGCCTCCACCGTAGTAGCGATGGTCTCCAACCTACTAGCGATGGCCTCCAACCTGGTCCAACCGACCTACTAGCTTCTTGCCCCACATGTATCATTACCTTGTTTCCTTCCTTTTGCAGATTGTGGATCCAAAAAGCTTCACACAACACATCCTCAGAATCTTCTCCACCAAGTGGCCAATCGTATTGAAGCTGGCGACCAAGCAATCAACCAAAGCCAACGAGACCAGGACCTGTGGCTGTTAAAAAAGGATGGGAAGTTGCTTTTTGGGAAAAGAATATGACACCACTTAATAAGTCTGTGTATAAAATAACTAAAAAGCATCAACACCATGAATTTCAGCGGAATTCTGCCTCACGTAGTGTGTGCCACCGGCTCCGTTGATTCCCATCACCTGTCAATTCGCTTGAAATACCAGTTTCTTCATGTAAAAGCGACGATTTGTGAGCTTTGAACGTCTGCTGTATCTTTCATGCTGCAACATGCTGCAAATTTGCGGCGCAAATTCTACGGAGACTCTAACCTGGCAAAGCTTGGCATCGATCAACCAGTAAGTATACAGTATACAAACACCAGCTCTCTCCTTTCTCTATCTGCACCGGCTTTCCCTCACCTAAGGAAAGCTCACGAAGCCGAAAAATCAGACCAAAGTACCTGAACTGCAGAACACATGGTCAAAACATCCCCTATGGAATTCCAGGTAGGGGTTGGGCACCCCATTTTATAAGACATAAAATGGTTTTGGGTACGGTTTCATGATTATAGAAGGAATACCTGATTACAGCCACTCACCTTCTGTCAATATAAACTGTCACCCCCCAACCCTCTCTTTCCACATATGGATTTTCAAACATGCCTCAATAAACAAAGTTTTTAGGGCTTTATACATTGAAAAGACGATGCTGAGATCTATACTATCTCTTATTGTTTCACCTATGTCAGATTGGGCAGGAGTCTATTTTATAGCAGCTGGTGGCTGCAATGGCTTAATATTGCATTCTATATATAAGCAGCCCATTTTATAGTGGCGCCATGTCAAAGGCTCACTTTCCACAAGAATTCTGATAGGTGGTTGGTGTGGAAGACCCATAAAATATTATACAACCAAAATACGACCCACCCAGGTCTATAAAATCAAAACCCAAGGAGGCCGAAGGTGAATGATGGAGATTATTTATGAATGGAGGAAATCTTCGCCACGTTTCCATCTGTGCTGTCCAACAGAAATTGGAATCTTCTATTCCGACAGGGATTCTGTATATTTGGCTGGGGGGTTGTAGTGGGGAGGGTGGTACCTAGTGGGTCTTCATTTTATAGCGGCACCATGTCAAAAGCTCACTTCTCCCCAGGAAGCTTTATAAAATCAAAACACCTCGCCCCCAGGTCTATAAAATCAAAACCCAAGGAGGCCAAAGGTGAATGATGGACATAATTTAAGAATGGAGGAATTCTTCTCCAGGTTTCCATCTGTGGTTTCCAACAAAAATTGAAATATTCTATTCCAACAAGGTTTCTGTTGATTTGGGGTTGGCTGGGGGAGGGGCAGTGGGGAGGGTGGGGCCTAGTGGGTTTTCATTTTATAGTGAGACCATGTCCAACGGTGATGTTGGGTGTTTATTCTACAATGCAGGTCGATGAAAACTTATGCATACAAATCACCTTCCAAAACCATACAGTCATGTTGATGATCGACGTCATTGAACCAATTCAACGGAATTCAAAACGACTTGAGAAATGAAAAAATCAAACTCTACCATAGTCTACCTTAGCTCGCCCACTCCTTCTTTATATAAAATTAACATTTGGAACCCTCCATCATCCTCCGTCTGTATAAAATGAACACCTAACACATCAGGCACATCTTGGCTGTTTGCCCTGCGATGCAAGATGTTTCTGTTATAAAATGAAAGGTCACAGTTTGGCCAGGAAAACCAGATCCAATTTCAAACTCGTACGTGTCCAAGCGGTTTCCATTCTATAACAACTAGTGTTTATATAAAATGGCTGCCCCCCGAAAGCTCGAGCTCCACATGTTATAATGTTTATTCCCACCCGGATGTCAAAACTCCATGCTCAAAAATTGATGCGTTTGATAATTCGTGCGTAAACTGCAGCTGAACCAGTCTAGCCCCCGTATGGTCTGTATGTCCTCACCCCATGGCGTGATGCGGGGAATGGTAGCGCATGCTGGTGCTGTCTCCGGCTTCACGACAAGAACTCGCAAATGAACATGCTTGTCAACCTGCCAAAGTCCACCAAAATACTCAGATTGGATCCAAGATGCGCCAAGCACAAGATTTCAATCCCGTTTGATGCCTAACGCCAAGCACGTGCAGTTTGGATCGTCAACTAGAGGTTATAGAAGTCATTGGGCTCCCTCTCTCTATCTTGTCGATCTTTTCAGCAGCTATAGTTGTGAGAAAAACTGTAAAATCTGGGCAGCTTCATCAGAACAAAAAGTGTAGTAATGTCAATGATGACACAGTATTCTCAAGCAAGGTATGCCATTGCATAACCAAGGGTTAATCCATCGCCCTTGTATAGGTCTAAGTATAAGTGGTTAGAGTGATTGCCACACAGCTTGCCGTCGCACAGTGACAAAATGATTGCAAGGAAACAAACGTCTGAAAAAATGTTTCAACAGGACAGGCCCCTAAGGCATGGGCCCAGAACGGTAGGCGTGGTAATTGCCAGCTGTACTTCGAGTCGCAAGTTTTGCAGCGCACTATCCAACAGGGTTCCTGCAACAACAAGACCAGTTGCCGCAGTAGTCAGTCATGAATGAAACGATGCTTGAACAGTTTCAACCCCAAATCTGATCTCTCGCCGTCTCTTCAAATGTTGAGCTCATTTGGGCGATGCCGAATTGGGTGACGAGTGCTTCTTGTCTTGACGACAAGCCTCACTCTTGATCGCGATAATGCTATGATTTGTCAACGTTGCGTTGTCTTTTTAATTAAACAACTCTGAGACAACTTGTTCATCAGCAGCCGTCCAACCCAAGTAACTCCTCAAACAGTGAGAGGGACAGGTATGCAAACTTCACAAGCACCGTCACGTTGGAAAGCTGCCTCCATGCGAAATAAGACCCCAACAATGGCGGCATGTGATAAGTCTGACTTCGGATATTTCTGAAGGCCTGTCAGTGCATCAGCCAGTGTGGCTTCTTTGGGCTCACAATATCTGTCGACCCAAAACGCAAACGAACACCACCCAACCATGGTAAAGGGTAGTGCGAATTGGATATGTAACAACATGTCAGGCTTCAAAACTCCAATTGTGAAGAACAACAACAACAAGTCACCGTTAGGTTGGAGGCCATCGCCTTTAAATTATGTTGGAGGCCGCCGCTAGTAGTAGGTTGAAAACTAAAAATTGCAGCATAGATCCCACGACCTGTTGACATGCGACTGAATGTACGCAGCCTGCGCAGCCAGCTTACGGCACCTCCACAGCGCAGCTGACCCCAGCACCGGTGCGCTTTGCCAGCTGACAACACCGGCAGCGGCACCAGCACCCGACCAGCGCCGCCGCCCGTCTTAAACGCGCGCTCAGCCAGCTCGCAGCACCAGCGCCCAGGACCACAACACCAGCACCAGCATCGACACCCTTTCGAGCGCGCGCAGCCAGCTCATTCTGACTTGCAGTAAGAACCCCATAGCTACCCCTATCTACACTATTTGGTGAATAAAAACGTATGATCTCGCACAAGCGGCAAAGCCCGTAGGCTTCACTCGCCCAAGGCCAAGCTATATCCAGCACGACTATTGCGTGTAGCATGCTGAAACATGCGCGCAAACAGTACAGCCCTTGACACAGCTGTCGGCCAAAACACAACCTGAAGAATGTAAATACCCCACGGCGCTAATAGACAAAGAACGCTCAAGCGACAACACCGTATGATGTTGCGTGCATAAGTTCATGCGGCCAAGCACCCAGCACCGGTACCCAGCACCCGGCACCCTGTCCCCACCACGCGCAGCACCCAGCACTGGCACCGGCACCCTGTCTCCACCATGCGCACAGCCAGCCCACAACACCAGCACCAGCACCGGCGCCCGGCACCCTGTCTCCACCACATGCACAGCCACCTCGCAACACCAGCTCACAGCACCAGCACCGGCACCCTGTCTCCACCACGCGCACAGCCAGCACCCAGCAACGGCACCCTGTCTCCACCACGTGCACGGCCAGCTCACAGCACCAGCACCAAGCACCGGCAACCTGTCTCGAAAGCGCGCACAGGCAGCTCATTGTTAATTTGAAGTAAGAACCCCATAGCTTCGCTATCTGGGGAATAAGTCAGTCACCACCAGTCCCATGACCCATCGATCAAGATGCTTTCGAAAACGATAGATCCGCAGCTGGTGTGAGGAGCAGCTTCGCACCCACTGGTCACTTCCTTTGGCTGCCTCGGCAGAACTTATGTGATTTTTTCATGGATTTGGAGGCCGCCCACAGCAATTTAAACAGCTAGGGAATCCACCATCAAGAAATACAACCAACAACCTATTCAGTGCCTTGTGCACCCAAACCGCTGCAAGCTCCGCCGGCGGGGCTTCTGCCTGACGACATAAAAAAGGCTGCGCTCAGTCCCTCGGTGTGACAGTCAAAGAAATCAGCAACAAAGGCATCATCCAAATTAGAAAAGATTAGACAAGCCTGAGAAAGTGGAGAGTGATGAATCAAAACAATCAAGTCACCAATAGGTGGAAACTGTAAGTCAACGGGCAATCCAGGTTCATGAAGCCACTTGAGTTTAGAGTCTGGGAATGCCTCACTTTGCACCGGTTGCAGCTGGGGCAGCTCCATCGGGAGATGGCTTTGTGGAGCTGTTCTGTGCCAAACAGCTACGCCAGCTACGTAGTAAAAGCCCAAAAACATGCGAGACACGCACAGGTGCTCCAGGAGAAGCCAATCAGGTGAAGCAAACTCAGGTGTCTGGTGAACCTTTAAAACCACATTGGCAATCACCTCTTGGAAGCAGTGCCACCAAGTGTCACCTTGCCCTTTCGAAGAAAAGTCCAGATTGCGCCAAACAAACAGAATGTCTCAACGGAAACGACGTAGAAGACTCATTTTCCGCTAAAACATGTTGGGACTGGAGAATTGACGGGTCTCCACACCGCCACATGCTGCATACATACATCCCAACTGCGCCAACTGGCCATCTGGCCCTGAGCCGCGGCACACATCAAGAGGGCCTCCGCAATGACTTCTTGAGGTTCTGTGGTGCTCAGGGCCTGCAAGAACAGGGCAAAAGATGTTTTGCACATATATATATATATATACAGTATATAATATTGATATATATATATATAATTGAATTGAGGTGGCTGGCACTGTCGCCCAGCAACAGTTGTCTTGGGCCTGGGTCGCAACCACCGAGATGCCAAGCGAGGCGGCAATTTGGTCGACCTCCTCACAATCAGCCTCTGGCCAAGCAAGGCTTACAGGCTAGATCTTCTCACCCCTCAAAAATAAGGAGATGAGCCTGATGCATTCGACACTCAAAGCTTACAGTAGATCAAAACTCTCTGCTCTCGACAGTCAAAGCCTCAAAGGTCGATTCGATCAGTACCGCCAGAGTTGTCACCTGACCAGATCGTAAACTTTTCAGGCTGGCCAACGTGAAGAGTTGAGACACCAAGGATGCTTTCACGAGCCTTCCTCTGCAGTGTCCTGCACATGACATGCTCACCAGCTCAACAGCGAAGCAGCTCGCCTCGTTTGTCCTCCCTTGGTTGGGCTCTTGTCAGTGCCTCTTGGCACACAATTTACGCCACACATCCCAGGAGCCCCGAACGTAGCGTCCTTGCTCCTAGTAGTACGGCCAGGAGCCCCTAGTAGAGTCCTTGTTGAATGAGGGCAGGGCCGTTGATACCTTTCAATGCTTGAGGCTAATCCTTATCTCCAATTTTTGAGCTGTCCCGAGGAGCACGGCAAGGATCTGCTGAGGGAGGCCGTTCTGCAAGCTGAATGCATTGGCATGGCCTGGTTCTGAAGAGCCGACATCTACTTGGAATGCACGTGGTATCTATATATAGAAACAGCCGTTAAGCTGCAACTCCTGTTTTGGGCCGCGAGCTGCGAAGGTAAGTCTGCGTGACATCCTACTATGTGCAAGGTACAAAATGTACATATTACATGGAATGAAAATACACCCCCCTCAGCTAAGGTAGCTTTGCTCCCGAAGCTGGACGCGGAAAGTGCACGAGGGCTTGTGCAGGGCACGACAGTGATGTCGGCACAAAGCTGCATGGCAATAGTGGATGCTAGCAATCCATTGCCTACGTGGCCCTGTACGTGCATTTTAATTATTCACTCCCCGCCGCCAAAAGAAATTGAAAGTTTGGACTTGGGAGGAAAACCGCATACATATTGACAATGGATGTCATGCAATGAATTATGCTCGCTCAGGCAAAAAGGTTGAGACTTGGCTCAACTAACGCCAATGCCACTGGCTCCGACTCGAGCTCCAGTCCTGCGAACGGCGGTCCCACTGCCGCTGCTCGCCCCACTCGCTCCAGTTCCATGAGCTCCATCCCCACGAGGACGATGCTGATCCGGATGCACGTGGGCTCACCGGTGAAGGTGGCGGACCTCCCTTTGCCTTTGAAGCTGGAGTTCCATCACCTCCGGTAGAGGACTTGCGCTTGCCTTTGCTTTGCTGCTGGCGTTGCTCTTGAGTCTGCTTGTTGACCACATCACGCCTGGCAGCGGAGAGGTTGTCGTGGCATAGCTGGCGAAGCTCCTCCATTGCGCAGTATTGGCTCATCTGATGCACGCCGTCCCAAGCCAAAAGGCCACGATGGGAGTCGGGTGAGTTGATGTACTCGATGTACTCACGCAAGGAGAGGATGTTTGTGCGATAGATCACGCACCATTGCTCAGGAATGTAATCCATGGCTTGTGGATAGCGATCGGGCGCTACGTCGATGTAGGCCAGCCGTGCCAGAGAATGATCTTCGTCATATCCAAGGCCCAGGCTGACTTGCGCTTTGTTGCGCGGCGGGTTCGCCAAATGAGCATGGCAAAGCCAATCCTGCCGCTGCGCTGCCCGATGATCATAGCCCATTTGCAGCATTCGTTCCATGAACTGGACATCATGCTCGAAGCGATCCTCGATGCTCTGGAAGCCACACTTGTCTGCACGCTTCATCCGGCTGCGAGCGTCTTGGATCATGATCGCTTCTGGGCTCATGTTTCCACGGCCGCTTGCAGACACCACACGCAGATTGAGGCCAGCCTTGATGTAGTCGCTGACTGGGCACTCAGTGCGAGCGAGGCCGGCCCTCGCAAGCTGCTGCTTTCGGAGAACTGAAAGTCTGGTGACCGCTTCCTCCGGCAGCTCGGTGTTGGTGGCAAGTTCGGCTGAGCAAATGTCACAGTGGGTCATGCCCCTGAGGACTAGACCCTTGCACTGGCTGCATTCGACCTGGATCACCGTCAGCTTGCGTCCCTTTCGAAGCGTCGGGGCGGTGATCGGTGCATCAAAGCCAGGTGGTGGCCCCGCAGGCTCAGGCGGAGCGTACCCGCTGTAAGATGCTGCAGGTCGATCTTGGTCTGCCTCGTTCGCAATGGAAGTTGGCGGAGTCGAAGGCGCAGCCTTGCTTGCAGGTGCCGCTTTGCTGGATGCAGTCAGGGAAACAGGCATTGCTTTTGCGGTTGGCCGGGGCTCGCCAGTGATGGCGGCCCGGCTCTCACCTCCATCCGCTGGTGCTGCCTCAGGTAGGCCAACGGCACTTACCCTGGTCCAGAGTGTGGACTGGCTTTCGGTGTTTTCGACGGAGACAATGTATTCTGGAGGTACCGTGTCAACCGTCATGATCCCACCGGAGCGGTTCTGGAAAAAGATGAGACCGCCATCGACTGCTTCCCGAAGTGCAACGGTAAGCTGAATGGGGTGCTTACCGCGGAGACCGCTTTGATAGTCGGTCTCCGTAATGCGACTTGCAGCCAGGTAAACATGGGCTCGATCGCTGCCAACAAACTCGCCCCCGCCTGGGATAAGGCCCTCCTTGACGATCCGCTTCCAGCACGCTGGCCTCGTGCGGTGGTAAGCCAAGACAGGGATCTCATCCGCTTTGGCGATGGGCTTCCCAATGAAGGGAGCTTTGGCTTCTGGCCTGAGCGCAGGACTGCAGTACATCAAGGCTGCCGATCTGTAGTTGTCCTGTGCGCTCTTGATCGCGTGCTTGCTTTGGCCAGCAGCGGCACGCATCTTCAGAGGCCATAGTGCCACGCCCTTCTCCTCGAGTTTGTGCCCTTCTCGAATGCCCAAAAACTCGAATCGGTTTTTCTTGTCCTTTGCTGCTATGGCGATCAAGTCTTTGACGGTGAGCGGCGGGGCACTGCGGTGATTCAGGCCGAAACACCTGGCTACTTCATCCAAGTCTGCGTAGCCATCTTCGTCAACCTCAAGTCCCAGGTATTGGTCATGTTGTCGAACGACCTTGGATAGCTGGGTGAGCCAATCCTTGAGGGGTTTCGCGAAGAAAAGGTGCCCGCCATTGAGCTCTCATCCGCTCGCAAAGTGGAGCGGCAATTGCTTGTCACCAAGCTGGACCACTTGCTGGAAAGCGCCATCGATCTCGGCCATCTTGTACGTGTACTCGGGGTATTGGTCTGCAAGATACTGAGGGCACACAACGTGGCCTTCAGCAGCAGCCGCCGGCGGCGATGAGGGTGCTTCAGGCTCGGGCTCACCAGTGACGGCGGCCGAGCCTTCTTCGCCATGAGGTGCGCTTTCATCTTCAGGTTCTTCTGGCACAACCTCTTCATATGGCGATACCTCCTCGTCATCGATGGCATCGATGTCGAGCCATGCTGCCGGGTTCTCACCAGTTTCGACACGATGGCTGAGTTCCTCAAGCGTCTGGAGCCGGCCCTCATAGGTTTCACGGCTGATGTCCAGCTCTGCAGCGATCTTTTCCTGCTCTTCCTCCATGACATCAAGGCGTTGCTGGAGGATCTTTTCTGCCGTGGCATCATTTGCGACGAAAATCTCCGAAAGGTCTGGATCATTTTCCTCCCCTTCGGGCTCATCATCGATGACGGCCATGTCTGCCTCGGTAATCGGCGCAGCTCGGTTTGGCTGCTCCGCAGCGACGTCCTTCTTGGTAAGGGCGCGAGCGGTTAGCTCGGCTGCGGCGATTGCCCTTTTGTGGCGGACATCGGCAAGGTTTCGGAGTAGCTCTTCGTA